TTTCTTGTTAGCTTTGTTTCAATTTTTCATCATGTGAGCTTTTGTCGTAAGTTTACTCCCTTTAAGAAGGGGTGGACTGTAGTGGAATCATGGGACACAAACAAGGTCACGTGACATAGCACATGGAACTAAGTCGAGATCGAGCGAGGACAACCGAGATCTTCTTCATGCGTTTCACGAGTATCGAGTATTGTCAGAATTCTGTTTATCGTTCAGAATATAAGTTGCGTTTCTACATTTTGTCTACATGTCAGCTAATTCCCCCAACAACGTCTACATTAAGAAGGAATCGGAGATTTAGTTCGTACAATGATATTTATGTTCTTGCGAAGAAGCGACAGCCGCAAATGCATATAATAATTTAACTTGTTTTTGTTATGTTCCCGTATTAGTAGGGGAGTTTTTCCCCAGCTAGGTGGTTGATGACATTCTTAATACAGTTTCTATCTATCTATAGGCAACAGACAGACATCCCTTTGGAAGGCCCAGAGGCTGAAATCGTAAAAATAACTTCAACTGAAGCTTCGTTAAAGCTTACCTGTTTTGGAGCCATATTTAGTTAGCCGCACCGATACACTGAAACCGTCGTCTTGCGAGGCTGATTTAAATTCTTCGGTATGAAACCGGAGAACAGAGTGCTCACTATTAAAGGTCCCATTAGAATTTTGGTTTTCAATCAGATAATCTCGAGTGGCGTGTCAGTGGGCGTGAACAAAAGGTATTGTTGTGAATTAATTTTTCTCGATTCGCCCGTGCGAAATGAACTGTAGCAGTAGCGCACGAGCGCCTTCGCAATTATGTTAATTTTGTTTGTTATAAAACTTTCGTATTTATATTTTTGAAGCATATGGTTTGTAAATTGTTAAGGAATAAACCGTCTCACGTTTTTTTTAGTTGGAGTATAGTTAACTATGGTTGGAGTCGTTGGAACTTCTTGAGACAGATATCAAGAATGGTGTCACAAATCAGGTCTCCATAACCGGAATGTTTTGATATATTTTAGCTTGGTTTGTTTGCTGTCCAATATCAAACCATGTGATCTTCTCATGCTTAGAAAGTTATATTGCCTCTCGGTTTTAAGAAGTCTATCGTAATATAATGGGAGCATACCACCGAACACCAAAATTATTCAAAATTATTCAGAATCAGTTTACCTACATCATGATGCATACAAATGAATCAATGTTAGGTTAATTTTAGACCACTGATTAGCAACAGTTGATAGACAAAGATAACTACTGCAACAGAGCTCTTTGGGTCAATACGTTTCAAGTGCTTTTACGTTCCGGGCCGAATACGAGACTAGTTTTTTTTTAACGTAAACTCCGTTACTACAAATATCAAAGTCAATTTAAAGAATTTTGCCAAGATTAAACTTGTAACTATTATGGGAGGGTACCGTCAATCACCTTTGACTGTGGAGAAAACCTAAGGCACTAGAGAATTATTTCTTTCAAATTTATTCATATTTACCTGTATGGTTGGTTTGCACCGGCGAAAAAGTCTATAAGCCTATAGACTGGGAGTGAATCGATTATAAGGTGGGCAATGCAAAACTCAAAACAAAACGACAACAACAACAGCATCCAAAACAATGGACCTTTTTACCGATGTCATCCAATATAAACAATATTGATATTTTTCATAAAAACAAAGAAACACCTACATAGAACAATTTATCATTCCGAATTTAGTAAATATGCGAAGTTTCATGGAAATCTGTTGCAAACTCGTGAAAATATGGGAACCCAAACTTGCCAGTTTTTACCCAGCAATGTACGTATGCCAGGGGGGAAAGCGTGCTTACATTTCTTCTTAGAACAGAAAAGTACTGATGTCGGACAGAAACTTTACTGATCGTAAATATGCTCTGTGGCCTGATATCGCAACCTGTTCAAACCACGAAATCCTTGCTATTTGACTGACTGACAGCCTGACTGACTGACTGACTGACTGGCTAGCTGGCTGGCTCGCTAGTTGAATGACTGACTGACTGACTGACTGACTGACGGAATGATTGAATGGATGGATGGATGGATGGATGGATGGATGGATGACTGACTGACTGACTGACTGACTGACTAACTAAATAAATGTCACGAATGAATGATTGAATGAGTGAACGAACGAACGAACCAAGGAACTGATGTCAGATGAAATTTCTCAAATTCTGTCGTCGTGCGTCTTAGAAAAATCCTAAAAACTAATATACAATGTTTCTCCCCGGGATCAACTACAATTCCCTTAAAATATCTTCATCTTGGTATTACAAAAGTGTTTATCGCTCGAGCAATGGAACTTGGTCATAATTGCTGCACCGCTTTGACCAAAATGCAGCAACATCGCCATGATGGTGTCCCTTTCACAAACAACTGGTCAGACAATATCTGATATCCCACTGCCACGCTGTTGTTTTAGAGTCGCGTGGACTGACAAGATTCAGACTGAAACATCGAGTTGCGCTTCTTCCATTGCGTAAATGTACATTTACATGCTTGAGATGAAACTAAAGTCTATGAAATCGGGAAAAACGGTCCGAAAGGATGCTGAATTTACAAGAGTATCTAAAACGAACGACCCCTTTTCAAAAGGGCAGCAAGCAATTGCTTCTGAGTCCTGTAAAGCCACATGACCTGCATGCACTGTTTATAAGGTCCTTAATTTAGTGATTGGCCAAACGAAACATTTCAATGTTTACTTAAAAGTACAACGCAAACATTGTCCCTAGCCTTAACGTCCCGCCCACACTACACTGGAGAAAATTGAAAACGGCGTTTTCACTCTAAAAACGCATCAAATGTTTTCCGCCCACATTACGCCGGGGAAATTTGAAAACGCAACAATCATCGGCCATTTGGGATTTGTGCTTAAAGTTTTTGGAAAGCTCTGTTTTCAAAATGTTTTCCGTCCATACTAAAACTCAAAGCCGGTGTTCACAAATTCTCGTCGTGTGGCTGATATGAGGGGGCGTCGACGTTGACGCCTTCTCAAAAAATCTACCTTGGAATTTCGCAATTATCTAAATCTGTTCAGTGACGCCGATCGGTCTAAAAACTAGTTCTTATTCAAACTAAATATGTAGTGCAAGCTGTCAATTCCAAACGAAACACAAAAATCAGTCGTCGTGGCTCACGTCGTCTATAGGAACTAATTGGTCATTGCACGTTGTTGTTTTCCAGAAGACGGCTACAAAGGCATGCAGAACCATTGTTCTGATCAATTGACAGGAAAAATATTGTTTATAATTTGGAGACGTTTTCGTTGCGGTTTTTGAGAACGTGGTTTTGCACACGTTGGAATTGCCTGGGCCCTTCGGATACCGCCGAAACAGGCAAGAAATATTAGTCTTCCAAACTCAAAAACAAACAAGCAATAAGAGTTAAACTAGAAATCTTCCTTTATATTTATATTCGATCACAGAAAAAATCACAATTTACCCTGTTTGGACTGTCGGTTAACGGTCTTTGATAACAGAATAAAACATTTTGACGCAAAAGTTTCCATGCAGGGCTGATTTTCTAATTTAAACGCGTTGCCGAGCGAGTTATGACGGCCGAATTAAATTAGCTTCCCTCACCTGGGCTTTCCGCATGGTCCAGTTCCAATGAAAACCTTCGCTGAAAAAAGAATTAACTTGGCTGCAATCCGTCCAAGATGAGTTTAAGGGCCGTTTCCGTGGGTTGTTGCCGCTTTTTAAACGGAGCAGAAATAAATGAAAATAAATGAGCTTTGGTGACTGATCGACCATTTACCGAGTCTCGTCTCCAAATAGAGGCAAATTTCAAATGGGGACTTCAGTGATATAGAACTCAGAGGCAGTTCACTGGGTTCCATGAGGTCACTGTTTGGTTTTAGTTCAGTTGACGCAAGGATAATACCTTACTGTAAGGTGTTCTGGAAGGCTCGTGAAAAGTTAATTAATAAACAAAGCTCTCAAATCAGCTCGTCTCTTAAAGAACGACCTGACCTATATTGGACTGGCAATCTTGAACTTGTGTCAGTTACTTAATGTTCCCAACTAAAAATGCACGAAACCCGGTTTTTGACATCATTAAGAATTGGTTCAAACTTTGTATTCTGCGGAGTAATATAGATGTGCAACAAACGAGGCTGCATGTGCCAGAACCGTTAACGTTGAATATATATAATTTTCTTTTTTTTTTTTCCTCGAAGCATAACCGAAAACAACTCTTACGTAACGGTGCAGCCTCTCGAGTGGGCAGTAAAATGCTTACACCGAAAATATAATATCAAGTGGACTTGGAGGTTATTCATTATTTTCAAATTTCATAAGAATTTTTCCTGTTTTGAAAAGCTGAGAGAAATTTTCCTTGATGGTGATAACTCTTGCCCACGTGATTTTCTGGAGAACATGTGTGCGGTGTCGAGTTATGGATGAAGGGTCTTGCCATTGATTTAAGTCACGCGAGTTGCAGTCGTATTGAATTGCTTTTATTCGGTGTTTGGGTTCAAACAAATTTTCCCGTTCGAACTGTTTTCTGACCAAACCCTGTGGCTTCAACCATTTCTCAGTTTCTCAGCTTTTGAGCGCACCACTGTACCGATACGCTCAAAAGATTGAAATCGCGTCATCGATAAAGTAGATCAGCGGCACAGTTTTGTAATATTCCTTTGGCATAGTAGGATTGTAAGAACTTCACTTACTGATAAATCAAGTCTCTTATGTTTCGTTGTTCTTGAAGTGCTTTATTTGGCTAAGTTATTGGACCAGTTCATGAATAAATCATTGCAAATACTTTTAAAGAGAACCAACAAACTAAAACTAAGTGTTACTGATTCGAACTCTCAGCCAAGTCGACATGACTAGCAGTAGCCCACGAACACAGACGTATTTCTGGCTGTCCTTTGTCTTTCTCGGGTTAGACTAGCGGGGATTGTTGGAAAATAATTGAAAATAAAATAAAAATGTAGCCGGGGGAGCAACGAATTGACTAGTTGAAGTTACTGTCCGCATTGTGCTTGATGATGAACTAAACAAAGAGAACATGTCTTTGCGCCGAGACTGTATTCAATCCCCCGGGGGGGGGGGGG